GAGAGTATAAAGATGTGATTTTGTTTTCGCAAAGACAACAAAGATTCGTGATTAGGAACTTTGGTTGAACAAAAATCTGCTGTTATTAAATATTGATAGACTCTTTACCAGACTTTATTCTAAGATTTATTCTGATTTCCACTGAATATTAATTTTTTAAGGGGTAAATTTGTAGGGAATTAGTAAGGAGAACCGCAGCGTGTCTGCCTGCCCTAAATCTTGCCAAGAGGAAAGACGGCAACGTTTATGGAAAGTTCTGTGAACTACAGCTTAAGTTCATATTTAGAATAATTCAATAACTTTACCTTTTGTAAAGATCATCATCCTCTCCTCCCCAACCCCAGTAACGATTGGATAGTCCATTTACATCACGAAATTGTTGAATGTTCAGAAAAGAACTCGTGCCGAACATAGTCTCGTAATTCAGTCTAGCATGTTCTGATATTGTCATTACCTGCTACTAGCAATATTGGATAAATCTTACTTGTAATTATTTTTATCTACTGCAACGGCCATGTGTCGAGGATTCTGCGTTGGACACACGTGTAGGTTTCTTCTATCCTCTGGTAATAAATCTACATCATGAAGCAGGACGCATTGCCAGTTATAAAACTTCATTGCTTCAAGAAATCCAACATTTAACAGCTAAATTTCACCCTTAATGTTTTGCTTTTTTCGTACAATGTTGGAAAGATTGCCTGGTAATGTTACCTTGCCACGATTGAATGTTGAATTAGCACTTTGTTCCACTACAATAATGGAATAATCCAGCTCTTGTTCGGTGAGGAATGGGTGCATATTATTAAGAAGAATTTTGAGATGCGATTGACGATCGCGATATGGAATTATTACAGCAACCTAAATTCAATCTTGAAAGGTCATTTCAGGATTAAAATACGAGAAAATTGTCAAAAAACATTGAAACGTATTTACTTAAACTATCGATTTGCTGATCAACGTAGACTTACCCGATGTGCCGCGCTACAATTTTTCGGAATGTAGTGTCCACCCGGTTCCAAATAGTTGTATTTTTTCTCGA